TGTGCCGTAAGAACCTGCTGTAAAACCCTGGAATAAAACCCTGACCTGGAACTGACCAATCGGGGTCAGCCAACTCGGGTCTGACCCTCCCCCTGCCCCAGACCTCTATAAAACCTTTGTTCTGTTGAAGCTCGCTCTCTCCAACTCGCCGCTGCACCAGTGTATGTGGGCTGAGCTCGGGCTAGCTTGAATAAAGGCTCTTTGCTTTTGCATCAGACTCGGCTCCCTAGTGGTCTTTGGGGATCACGAAATCTGGGCAAAACAGCTTCTGCATTGAGATAAGCACTAGTATATCCTCCATTTTCAGAAAGGGACCCAGAAGTGGGAGGGAAAAAATGAAACTTCACACAGCCAGCATTATTGAACAGTTTTTTACTAAAAGAATAAACTTTTATTAAGCACTGTAAGTTTCTTTCCATCGCAATTAACAGAACAACAGACCAATTTCCATCACAGAACAACTCCTGAGACATTTTCGTTCCTTTCTGAAACACTTCCATTACCTCCCGCAGTTTCCCCTAAGAAGCATCCATTCGAACTTACATTAATAAACTATGGAGCTTTTGTGGTGAGGTGGGCCAATAAGGCGGGGAATTTGGAATCTGGAAGTGGGAAAGAAAATACATATTATCCATCCACTAATCACACTGTCAAAGAGCACAGGAGAAGAGATATTAACACAGGAGAAAAAAAACAATGAAAGAATTTCTTACTTTTGTCAATAACATCATTTATCAGGGAGCACGCACACACACAAAAAAAACATTGGCTCCTGTGGTTACGGTTTCTTTACCAAGTATGTTATCCTAGAAATAGAACAGAAGAAAAGAAAAGATAGGAGGGGAGGTATCTTCGGGGAAAGGAACTAATACGAAGTCATCAGATTTGGCAGGGTTATGAGAGAAGATCTGAAGTGTTTAATTTGTTTCATTTACATGAGAATTCACTAGGCATTAGTTACTACCAACAAGGGACAAAAAGAACATTGATAGAAACACAATGGCCACGTCAGAAGCTGCAATGGGCGCCCTAGCACGAGGGGGATTTTATTTTGCTTTTAACTTGGGGGAAAGATGCTTTTGTAAAAAGTGAAGTTATCTTCTTAGAACATCAAAACAACCTGTGGCAATGCTGAAGACAAGGCTCGGTAACGGGGGAGAGGTACACGGAGCCCTACCCGCACCGGCAGACTACTGCAAAAAGCCAAGAAAAGAGAGAGTGGAAAGCCGAATCCGGGAAAAATGCCAGTCACGAGAGAGGGGGGAAAATATAGGGCGACGCACAATGGAACAGTGAAAACTTACCCCCCCGCCCCCAAACCCCAAGCATATTTAGCCAATATGCGTCAGGAAAGTGAACAAGTACAATGATTAAACCTTAGTAGGATTATACTAACTACTTTAAACTGTGGTCTACTTGTATTGTCATCTCAAAGGAGGGGGGTCTTAAAGGAGCCTCTTGTGGGTCCCCTGGACTGGATCACTAGAACCAGTGACCTACACATTCTTTCTAGCCTACAGAAGCACTGCTCCCCTCCCCCCACCTTCATCCTCCCCCCTAATGCCTTGTCTGGCTGCTTTTTTCCACAGTGATTAAAAAAAAAAAAAAAGTTAGTGTGACTCGGTCAACAATGCCAGAAAATCAAGATGGAAGCAAACGTAAGATGTCACTAGCTAAAGCGAGTGCCATTTCTTGGGCTTTAGAGTCTATCCCAAGTGCTACTGGCTCAGAATGAAATGATGCGACTGAGCAGAAGTTTGGGACCTGGTCTAGACCAGGCTGGCCACTCGGTAAGGGTGAGGGTCATAGGCTGACCCCAAGGCTCTCCTGCAGAGTCAGAACTGCACTGCCTTGGGGATCAGTTGTCTACAACCAATTAGGGGGCTTTAGCTTGTGGCCTTATAAAGGTAAAGGGGTCATTCCTAGGGGTTCCTTTATGACTGTTTGGGGAGCCACATTGTCAAGAAAGGAACCTTGAATGAAGGATGACCGTCTCTTAAAGTGGTACTCATGGCAAAGATCAAATCTGCCTTCTCCAATTTGTCCTCCAATTAGAAAGAAAGTTCATCTCCCAGGGATGAACCTTAAGTCTTTCTGGCTTCCAAATTGTGCATTTTGGCAGATAAATGAAAACATATGAGTGTGGATCTTTATGGTTCTTTTGTGGTAAGCTTCCGAACCCCAAACGCTGAATGGGAATCAAAATCAAGGTTGGAATTGAGCCACTTGCTTTACCCTGGGCCAGCCTAGGAGAAAGAAGAGGTCTGAGGAAGGGAGAAAAAGCAAGCCTTTTGGCAAACTGGAATCACCCGTCACAGCAGCAATTCTCACAGTGAACGCCTGCAAAATAAGAGATGACCTTCCTGCTGTGAGAGCTTACAATACTGTCGTTGGATTGTATCGAATAGGTCCAAGATGCGCAGAAACAGCAACAGAAGAAAATACCTTTCCGTGTAACTCCAAATACTTCCGATTAGAAAATGGAGAGCTAGGCAGATTGAATTTAGCACAGCTCAGTGACTCTGGTTCCTTCTCCAGCTCCTAAGGATACTTCCCTCCCCTCCCAGGTGGCTCCAGAAATTTCCAAGCCACTCACTCCAAAGTCCCAGCCTTCTCGGTGTTGTTAAAGGCCGGGCAGGTCAGAAGAGGGGGCGCCGAATTAGGGGAGCTGATTCCAAAGATGGTGCTTCTAAGCTTTGTTCCTGGTTAGACCTGGCTGGGTGTGCACTCTGTCATCCTGCTTTGGTTTGTGTAAGTGTCTGGGCCGGGGAGAGGCACTTTAGGGCCCCCTTCCCCCTGCGGATTGTAGGTTCTCTTAATTTGGGCCAGACTAGGATTAAAGGGTCTGAAACGGACTTCAATCTCTCATGATAGACCAATTGTAAGTGGGCAGTGAGCAAAGAGCCTTCTGGTTGTCTGGGGAAAAAACCGCCAGGGACCTGCAGTGGGTTAAAGTGCATGGGGTTTTTCAAAAAGGGAGAGAACCCTGATAGAAGTCTAGTCAGGTCAATTCCCGTAGAAATAGTACTTCTTGGGCGAGAATATCACAAAGCCCAAAAGGAGGTGTGTGAGGCAGAAGGCCTCAGATTCTTGAATGAAGATAGAATGCTAATCTGTGGCGAGCCACGTTCCCATCCCTCAGCCTCAGGCTGCTGAGGAGGGGAACTGAAGTGCAAGGTTGTCTCAAGGGCATCTGACAAGGAGGAAGGGCCTCTTTGTACTGGGTAGCTTCTAGCCTCGCGCAGGGCTGGCGTCCTTCTCCAGAATACTCCTTCCTAAAGGCCCAGGCCAGAGTCCTCTCAAGTCTTCCTTGCAAAAGCAAACGAAAAGATCCCGTAGTCAAAAGATCAATGAACGAATGAAATAATCTAGGTGTGGAAAATCAAATCGTCAATTTCCTCACACTTTCCTGTACCGCCTTTCCTTTGCCAGTCCTCTCCCAGAGCTGGTCCTGGCAATCGATTCTAGCCTGGGGCCAGTGGAGTTCCAGATGAGACTGCCTCCGAATTGGCTGCAAGCCCTGGCCGGCACCTCCCACCCCGGGGTCTCCATCTCCGATCCAGGCTGCTCCCCCACACAGGGGAACGCCCGAACCTTATTCCCGATCCTATTCCAACCTTCTGTTTTCGTCGTATGGGATGTGAGGGCTCCGTTCAAGATTAAGCTTGTGACAACCCAACTGTTTTGTTGCTCTGAACAGGCAATCTCCGGAAAGTGCTTTTTGTCTGCTTTAGAGCAAAGCCCGTCTCCTTAGAACTGGGATGGGCTGTGACTTAGTAAGGATTTCCAATTATGGTCTTTTGAAACCCACCACTCCATAGCAGTGGAAGCATTTCTGGGAAATTCAGTAAATCCTCTGGGACATCACCATGTATGTATGCACGCATGCACATACCTGTACATCTATCTGTCTGCCTATGTACATAGGCAGACAGATAGATGTACAGGTATGTGTACACACACATACATATATTTATATATAAAATATGTATAGATAAATAGATCTGTTTCTCTTATATAAAGGGCATGTGTATGCATCTAGATACACATATTCATATGTACATCCACACACACCCAAACACAAGGTGCACATGCACGCACACATACACGCGTGCACGCACACACACGCGCACACACACACGCACACAGTCTTCCGAGTTCCCTTTCGTACTCAGTTTCATTACACTGATGCCCACCCCGTGAGGGCGTGGGCAGCAGGGAGCGGGTGGACGGCACCACCTTTTCTATTTTACAAAGAAAGCATTAGTTCGGAGGCAGGAAAAATCTGCCCAGTACTTTTCTGACTCACTTGAATCCCCCAGTACAAAGGCCATTGGTAGTTTTGTGTTTTTCACAAGTATACAAAATAAAATAAAATAAAAACATAAAATAGAATAGCCAACACTACCTCGCTTCCCTGAAAACATCTACTTATCTGATTGTCAGGCCAGTGCTAGAGGCAATGGTACAAGACCCTGGGCTTGGTGGGGGGGTGGGAAGAGAGTGGGGGCGGATACTGGCTACATACAAAGGCCCCCCCTACTTCAGAGAGCAAACAGGAAGCTAGGGGGGCATGTAGGTAGCTGACCCTACCACCCCACGGGGTTCATAAACAAGTATCATGTTGAAGACTCAGCAAATCAAAATGGGAGCTTTCCTATTATAGGGCCTTATGGGATGACATTAGTTTCTGGCGGTCGCTACCTTACTAAGCTCCCGGGGGGAGGTCTAGAGAACACTGGCATTTTGCGTTAAAGCTGACAACAGGAGCCAGTCCTGTTGCCATTCATGTTGACCAGACCTTCCCCGGGAGCGGACCGCTAGGTCTGGGGGCCCAGACAAAGCCCGGGCGGGGAGAAGGATGGATCCTATAGGACATTGCCACAAAGTCCGGGGTAAGTCTAGGGTAAGCACTGAGGTGCTCCTCTAACGTGGGTGTGCCTAAAATCAGACAAGTACATGCTTTCCCCTCTCCTGATGTGGTAAAGACAGCTGCAGCTTCACTCCTCTTTCTGCAGGGCCACAGTTCCCAGGTTCTGCTCTCCCAGGAGGCTCTGCTCGCCGTTCTTGACGGGGAAGTAGCGGCTCTCGCTGTCGCACATGCTGTTCTCGCTGGATAGGGCGCACTGTGATGGAGCTGGGAGGAGGAGGTCGCTCTTCTCCTCCTTGGTCAGTGTGCCATTGCTTCCGTTTACCTGTGGGCGGGGCAGGCTCTGAGGAGGCTCCAGGGATTTAAAGACTCCATCTGAAGGGCCCTGTATCAACAACAGAGATGCTCAGTGGCAATGGCAGTCCCAGACGGGCTGACCCTTCCCAAGCAGACTCATAAGGAACTCAATGCTGCTTCAGTTCGTCCGAGACACCACAAAGCCCAAAGCATAACACTTAACGCGCTCTGCTACTGTCCTGAGAACCTAGGGTGACAACAGATGGATCTGACCAAAATCCAATGGCAATGACAGCACATCAAAATGACCCAACTGCCATTTACAACATATTTTTCCGGTATTACTGGGGACAATAAATGGTAGATATTGTTATGTCCCACTTAGAAATGAGGAAGATGAGGCTCAGAGAGAGTAATGTAACTTGCTCAAGGACAGCCAGATAGAAAGAGTTAGAAAGTGGTGGGATCAGGCCAGGCTGATGTGGCTCAGTGGTTGAGCATCGACCTATGAACCAGGAAGTCACAGTTCAATTCCCAGTCATGGCATATGCCTGGGTTGCAAGTTCAATCCCCTATAGGGAGTGTGCAGGAGGCAGCCATTGATGATTCTCTCCCATCACTGATGTTTCTATTTCTAGCTCTCTCCTTTCCTCTCTGAAATTTTTTTTTTTTCAAGAAAGGTGTGCCCTAACCTGTTTGGCTCAGTGGATAAATAGTGTGTTGGCCTGCAGACTGAAAGGTTTCAGGTCCAATTTTGGTCAAGGGCATGTACCTTGGTTGCAGGCACATCCCCGGTAGGAGGTGTGCAAGAGGCAGCCAATCAATATTTCTCTCTCATCAATGTTTCTTTTAAAAAATATATATTTTATTTATTTTTTTACAGAGAGGAAGGGAGAGGAATAAGATAAGAGAGAAGCATCGATCAGCTGCTTCCTGCACACCCCCTACTGGGGATGTGCCTGCAAAGAAGGTACATGCCCTTGACGGGAATCGTACCTGGGAATCGTACCCTTCAGTCCCTAGGCCGATGCTCTATCCACTGGGCCAAACCAGCTAGGGCTCATCAATGTTTCTTACTCTCTATCCCTCTCCCCTCTTATCTGTAAAAAATCAATAACAAATAAATTTTAAAAAGAAAGTTGTGGGCCTAGGATTCCACTGCAAGTCAGCCAGCCTCTAAAGTCTATTCTAATTGCCATTCGATGCTCTCCATGCTGACAGCTGGACATGTAAATGAAAGGAAAGGAAACAAACCATGAGAGTTATGTGCAATATTCCTCAGAATATTTCATAACTAAAACCGTCACTGATCCTGGATGGTTTTTGCTCAGTGGATAGAGCATCAGCCTAAGGACTGAGGGGTTCCAGGTTCCATTCCGGTTGGGGGCACATGCCTGGATTGTGGGCTTGATCCCCAGTGGGGGGCGGGCAGAAGGCAGCCAATCAGTGATTCTCCATCATCACTGTTTCTTTTTAAAAATATATATTTTATTGATTTTTTTTTTTACAGAGAAGAAGGAAGAGGGATAGAGAGTTAGAAACATCGATGAGAGAGAAACATCAGTTACCTGCCTTCTGCACACCCCCTACAGGGGATGTACCCGCAACCAAGGTACATGCCCTTGACATGAATCGCACGTGGGACTGTTGAGTCCGTAGGCCAACATTGTATCCACTGAGCCAAACCGATTAGGGCTCATCATTGACGTTTCTATCTCTCTCCTTCTCCCTTCCTCTCTGAAATCAATAAAGATATATTTTTTAAAAATCACTGTTTTTTCTCTCAATTCCAGGAATGTGACTGTTAATGAAATGCTAATGACATGAATTGCATTACCTTGCAGTGCAGTGTTGGCTCTCAATGAATGTTATTAGGAAATAATAACAACTTGATTACTAAGTGGTTGGGAATGTCAGATGCTCTGTTCATTTTACAAATAAGACCAATGAAGCTCAAAAAGTAAACTGGACCCAGACTCATTCAGTGAGAAATTGGACTGTCTGGCAGTGGGTGGAACTCGATAGTGGCTTTCTCTCAGAGGTGCTTGGAGCAATTACCATGGGACACTGAGACACAGGGGCATATTAGGGCAGGGCTGATGGGAAACTAATGCTGTCTGCTCCATCCTGAGATTCCGTCCCATTCAAGCTGAGCACAGAGGCTTTTGCAAGACTTGTCTCATAAGGGTGTCTCCAGCATGAAGTTCTCCCATGATAGACACAGCTGATCCTCACAGCTAATTGGCATGAAGGTCAATTCCTCCCAGTGATACCAACAACAATCAAGGCTTAACTACAACAAGACTGTGCACACAGCCCACAAAGGGGTGCACCAAGAGTGTCCACCTCAGGTAACTGAGGAGGCTAAGCCACTGGGCCCTATAGGACACCTAGCACACAAAGTTACTCTGTCAAAACAGGGAAGCAGCCAAAATGCAGAAACAAAGAAACAGGTCACAAATGAAAGAAATGGGAGAAAGCAAATGACTGGATATAGAGTTCTAAACCACGGTTATAGGTTTTTCAAGAATTTTCTAGAAAAGGTGCCGGGACCGGTTTGGCTCAATGGATAGAGTGTCGGCTTGGGGACTGAAGGATCCCGGGTTCGATTCCGGTCAAGGGCATGTACCTTGGTTGCGGGCATATCCCCAGTAGGGTGTGTGCAAGAGGCAGCTGATCGATGACTCTCTCTCATTGATGTTTCTAACTCTCTATCTCTCTCCCTTCTTCTCTGTACAAAAATCAATAAAAAAACTATATTTTAAAAAAATCAATAAAGTATACTTTAAAAAAAAGAATTTTCTAGAAAAGGTCAATAAATTTAGAAATACCTTCAAGAATATGAAAAAGGACCAACTAGAAATTAAGCATACACTGACTGAAATAAAAAATATTATGCAGCGATCTAATAGCAGACTAGAGGACCACAATAATCAAGTCACAGGTTTGAAATACAAAGAAGCAAAATATACTCAACCAGAAAAGCAAAAAGAAAAAAGAATCCAAAAATATGAAGATGGTATAAGGAGCCTCCGGGACAACTTCAAGCGTGCCAACATTCAAATTATAGGGGTGCCAGAAGAGGAGAGAGAGCAAGATACTGAAAACCTATTTGAAAAAATAATGTCAGAAAACTTCCCCCGCCTGGTGAAAGAAATAGACTTTCAAATCCAGGAAGCGCACAGAACCCCAAACAAAAGGAATCCAAAGAGGACCACATCAAGACACACCATAATTCAAATGCCAAGAGCAAAAGACAAAGAGAGAATATTAAAAGCAAGAGAAAAACAGTTAGTTACCTACAGGAGGCATCCATACAATTGTCAGCTTATTTCTCAACAGAAACTATTCAGGCCAGATGGGAGTGGCAAGAAATATTCAAAGTGATGAGTAGCAAGAACCTACAACCAAGATTACTCTACCCAGCAAAAACTATCATTCAGAACTGAAGGTCCGATAAAGAGCTTCACAGATAAGAAAAAGTTAAAGGAGTTCATCACTGCCAAACCAGTATTATATGAAATGCTGAAGGGTATTCTTTAAGAAGAGGACAAAGAAGAAAAGGGTAAAGATAAAAATTATGAACAAATACATATCTATCAACAAGTGAATCTAAAAATCAAGTGAATAAAAAATGTGGCTCTGATCAAAGGGCCTACTTGCAAGAAAATGGCATTTTTGACTGCAAATTTTGAACAGTTTCTACAGGAGAAGGTTAAAGTCAATGGGAAAACTGGAAATCTCGGGAATGTTGTTCACATTGAACACTTCAAGAATAAAATCACAGTAGTTTCTGAGAAACAATTCTCTAAAGGATATTTGAAATACCTTACCAAGAAATACCTCAAGACTAGTCTTCGTGATTGGCTTCGTGTGGTTGCATCTGACAAGGAGACGTATGACCTTCGTTACTTCCAGATTAGTCAAGATGAAGATGGGTTTGAATCTGAGGACTAGGTGAAGGCACCTTATATAGGCCTTTGCTTACTAATAAAACATAGGAAGTGTACCAAGAGAACCATCTAGAAATGGATTTTTAGTTTATCAGTGAATAAAAAATGTAACACTCAAAAAAAAAATCTGAAGAACAGAATAAACTGGTGAATAGAATAGAATCAGGGGCATAGAAAGGGAGTGGACTGATAATTTTGGGGAGGAAAGGGGTGTGAGGGGTGCGGGAAGAGACTGGACAAAAATCGTACACCTATGGATGAGGACAGTGGGGGGGGGGGTAAGGACAGAGGGTGGGGTGAGAACCAGATGGAGGGGAGCTATGGGGCGGGGGGTGGGGGAAAGAGGAACAATTGTAATAATCTGAGCAATAAAGATTTATTAAATTTTTTAAAAAGTAAAATGACTTGCCCAAGATCATTAGCATGCCTAGACTTGCATCCAAGAGTGTTTTATTCCAAAGACTTTGTTCTTTCCACTAGGATACAATACATAGTGGAAATCTAAGTCCTGTTGAATTAGTGGTTAACTAGAAAAAATAACTACTAATTTTTCTTGAATACCTCCCATGTGCCAGGCTCTGCGCTAAACACTACATATATCATCTCATTTTAAAAAATATTTTTTTAAAAATTTATTTCAGAGAGGAAGGAGAGGGAGAGAAACATCAGTGATGAGAGAGAATCATTTATGGCTGCCTCCCGCATACCCCCTACTGGGGATGGAGCCCACAACCTGGCATGTGCCCTTGACCGGAATCAAACTTTCAGTCTGCAGGCCAACACTCTATTACTGAACCAAACCGGCTAGGGCAATATATATCATCTCATTTAACACTCATAACAACTCTCTGAGGTAAATAACAATCTCTCCATTTCACAGTTGAGAAAACTAAGGCAAAAAGAGGTTAAATAACTTGTCCAAAATCACGGAACTGGTACATGGCAGAGTCAAATTCAAAACTAGATCATTTGGTCGAAACCGGTTTGGCTCAGTGGATAGAGCATCAGCCTGCAGACTAGAAGGTCCCAGGTTCGATTCTGATCAAGGGCATGTCCCTTGGTTGCAGGCACATCCCCAATAGGGGGTGTGCAGGAGGCAGCTGATCGATGATTTTCTCTTATCGATGTTTCCATCTCTCTATCTCTCTCTTTTCCTCTGTAAAAAAATCAATAAAATATATTTTTAAAAAAACCACCACCACCAACAACAAAAAACACACAACTAGATCATTTGGCTCCAAAGCCTATACAACATGGGGGCTACTGTAAATTGTTGTTCAAGAACCTGGGAAAAGCCGAAGCCGGTTTGGCTCAGTGGTAGAGCGTCGGTCTGCGGACTGAAAGGTCCCAGGTTTGATTCCAGTCAAGGGCATGTACCTTGGTTGCGGGCACATCCCCAGTAGGGGGTGTGCAAGAGGCAGCTGGTCAATGTTTCTCTCTCATCGACGTTTCTAGCTCTCTCTCTCTCCCTTCCTCTCTGTAAAAAAAAATCAATAAACTATATTTAAAAAAAAAAGTACCTGGGAAAAAAGATGAAACTACAGTCAAACCCTGGTTCTTTGACCATCTCCCCATCTTGAATAATTCAGTTCTTGAACAATATGGTTCTCGACCATGTTGTTCACAGAAAAAAATGTCTTGGCTATGGAACAAAACTTCAAAGATGGATCCCTTTTAAGCTGATACCTTAGCATGACAAAAAGCACCTCTCGGTTAACAAAGAGAGAATGCTTTTTTGATTCTGGCAAAATCAGTATCTAGAATTTGTACAATTTTCAAACATAAAGAGGCCCCCAAGAGTGCCAATGTTGCTAAGGATGAGAAAGAAACCGGTCACAGGCAATGGGAGAGGGAGAGAGTCTGTTGTTGATGTGGGTAAAGGAAAAGCAGGAAGGCAGGAACAGCACTTCGGAGGCAGTGATACGTGACAAGCAGAGATGCTGCGTGCGGACCCGAAGGACGTCCCTGGACCAAACGCTGAAAGTGATTCCTGTAAGGCTAGCAGGGGTGGTTCGATAAACTTAACAAGCGTTTATTTCCACCTTAAACAGTACATTGGACATGCACTGTATGTAAGAAAGGTTACAGCAGAATCATTTGGGGGTCTGGAATGGATGCATTCAATTTACATTCTTTCTTGGTTTTAAAAAATATATTTTATTGATTTTTTTACAGAGGAAGGGAGAGGGATGGAGAGCCAGAAACATCGATCAGCTGCCTCCTGCACGCCCGCAGCCAAGGTACATGCCCTTGATTGGAATCGAACCTGGGAACCCTTGAGTCTGCAGGTCAATGCTCTGTCCATTGAGCCAAACCAGCCAGGGCAATTTACATTATTTCTAATGGGAAAAAATGATTCGGTTTTCAAACAAATCACTTCTTGAACAGCTTTCCGGAAGGAATTAAGTTCGAGAACTGAGGTCTCACTGTAGCAAAATATCCATAAAATGAATGGTATTAGCCACCTGTGGGTGGGAGCCAACAAAGAAAGCAAACCATTACAAATAAGTGACTTAAGAATTTGAAAACACAAAAAACTCCAGCGGCCTAGGAATACTCTCAAGAAGACAGGTCTATGATGTAAGCAGACTGAATAAGATTGAACACTAAGTTAAACTGAGTGGCCAGATTATTATGATCTCTGAACGCAAAATAATCGGGCCTCTAATATGTGTGTGTGCTCGCAGAGGCCCGGTGCACGAATTCGTGCATGAGTGGGGTCCAGGGGGAGGGGACATGGGCAGTTGGCCGGCCTGCCTGCTGGTCGAACTCCTGGTCGAGGGGACAATATGCATTTGAGCCTTTTATTCTATAGGATAGACACTGAGTGGCCAGATTATCATGCGTTCAGAGATCATCATCATCTGGCCACTCCGTGTATAATACTCTAGAGAAAGGGTGACTGAACAGACAAAGGAGAGGTAGCAAAGCAGCAGCAACAGCTCTGCCCAGGGAAGATGCCTCACCTAAAAGCAAGGCCATTCAGAGGGCCTCCTGAGTCTGGCTACTTCTAGAGTAGATAATTGCCCCCAGCAATCTTAGTCAAGAGAAACTTAGTGTGACCTAGTACCCCTTGTCTTCCCCGTTTTCTCATGTGTGAAACAGAATAATAGTATCTATTTGATAGGTTCCTGTAAGGGTTCAATGAAGCACTCATTGTAAGTACGTAGATATGTGGTGGCTAGCACTGTGAGAACTCATTAAATGCCAGCTACTTTTGTTGTTCTGATTTCAGGTCCTCAAGCAAACTTCTTTTAAAAAATATTTTAAAATTTTATTTTAGAGAGAGAGGAAGAGAAAGATAGAAATGTCAATGTCAGAAAATCATTGATTGGCTGCCTCTTGCACATCCCGTACTGGGGATCGAGCCTGCAACCCAGGCATGTGCCCTGACCGGGAATTGAACCAGCGACCTTTTGGTTCATGGGTTGATGCTCAACCATTGAGTCATGCCATCCAGGGCCCACATACTATTTCTGTGATCTTCATTAATGTGAGTCAAGCACTGCGAAATGGGCTCCCTGATATTGTAGCAAAAATGGTTTTTTTTAGACTATATAGCCAATGATCAGATCCTGAACCATAGCTACCTCTCCTTTGTTCAGTCACCCTTTCTATAGACTATTATACACAGAGTGGCCAGATTATGATGATCTCTGAACGCATAATAATCTGGCCACTCAATGTATATCCTAGCTAATAAAAAGCTCATATGCAAATTGACCCCTCGACCAGGAGTTTGACCAGCAGGCAGGGTGGCCAACTGCCCATGTCCCCTCCTTTTGGCCAGGCTTGCTGGACCCCCTCATGCACAAATTCATGCACTGGGCCTCTAATATACATTAGAGGCCCTGTATAGAGGCCCGGTCCATGAATTCGCACACGCGCGCACACACACACACACACACACACACACACACACACACACACACACAATGAGAGAACATCAGACAATGGGGGTGAACATGGGGGTGAACATGGATACACTGAGGGTTGGCTGTATACCAGAGAGCTCATTTGAGATTGAGGACTGGCGATGAAGTGGCCTTGCATATGCTTTAGTCAGCGACCCTTGTGAAGATCAGACACTGCATGTAAAATGTTTAGAGGGTGTGGTAGGAAGTATGCACCCAAGAGATGGGAGCTGTTGCCCGGCCCTTGCGGCTCAGTGGCTGAGCGTCATACTATGAACGAGGAGGTTGCATTTCAATTCTTGGTCAGGGCACATGCCTAGTTTGTGGGTTCAATCAATGATTCCCTCACATCATTGATGTTTGTATCTCTTTCTCTCTCTCTCTCTCTCTTCCTTCCTCTCTGAAATCAATAAAATATATATTATATATATAATTGGCTTTTTACAGATAGAAAGGGAGAGGGAGAGAGAGTTAGAAACATCGATGAGAGATAAACATCAATCAGCTGCCTCCTGCACACCACCTACTGGGGATGTGCCTGCAACCAAGGTACATGCCCTTGACCCTTGAGTCCACAGGCTGACGCTCTATTCACTGAGCCAAACCGGTTAGGGCTCAACAATATATTTAAAAAAAAAAATGAGCAGAATGGTTTCAGCTCCTCCCTCCCCTTGCATATTCAGCAAAGGCCAAAAAGTCCAGTTTTCTAAGCACCCCTGGTAGCACTAGATAGAGCTCAGGCATATTGCTAGCAATCCTAATGTTACCTTCCCTCTGGTCCTCCACTCTGGCAGCACATACTATGGTACTTAAAGGTCTTCGGGAGGATACACCTGGTTTCTGTCTCGTGGCCTCGCTCAGTGCAAAGGATGTCACCCCGCAGCCCTGTGGAAACAGCCTCATAGGCAGCTAGAGAGCAAGAGAATGGCATCCAATGCCAGAAGCTGAGAAAGGCCCCAGGTTTCTGACCTCTTGCTATTTTGCTGAAAAGGTAAGAGGTATCAAGCAGAAGCAAGGTAATCTCAAAAAGGTACTTACTTGTTTATTTCCTTTTTTAGATCCTTTGAATCCTCTACCGGTCTGTTCTTTTCCATGCCTTTGGAAAGTGGGGGGGAGGGGGGAGGGAGAAGTGATCATGAGAAACACAGAAAGCCCATCCCCCCGTTTTCACTTCATTGACAACTCCTTTCCTTTCAGAAGTTTGACCCTTATAAGTTAGATGCCCCTCCTCCGTGCTCGCACTGTAAATCTCTATTGCTTTCATTTCTGTTATACCAAATTACTCTGTGTCCCACGTCCTCCTCTAGCGGCAACACTTTTTCATCAAGGCGGGGCATTTAGTATATGTTCCTGAACTAAACTGAAAACTGGCTTTAAAAATGGAAAGGTAAAAAAAAAAAAAAAAAAAAAGGTAAAAAATAAACAAACAAATAAATAAATAAAAATGGAAAGGTACTGCCCAAACCGGTGTGGCTCAATGGATAGAGCGTTGGCCTGTGGACTGAAAGGTCCCAGGTTCAATTCTGGTCAAAGGCATGTACCTTGGTTCCAGGCACATCCCCAGTAGCGGGTGTGCAAGAGGCAGCTGATAGACGTTTCTCTCTCACTGATGTTTCTAGCTCTCTCTCTCTCTCTCTCTCTTTCTCTCTGTAAAAAAAAAATATATATATATCAATAAAATATATATTTTTAAAAATGGAAAGGTACTTAATGCCCCTTACCTTATTAGAAGGATTCAATAGTCGGCACTTCCCTAAGGATCCCCTGACTGACACTAGCTCATACCAACCTATTTGAATACATACCCCTTTCCTGGCCCACCGACAGAAACCACTTGCATCCCGAAGCCTCGGCCCCTGGAGGGTCTGCTGCCAGCCCACTGGCCCACAACCATGCCAGCAATCTCCAGCTTTCCTCCTTGGGGCGGGATTGGATGGAGACCTAGAGAGAGAGGGAAAATGGCAGTAAGGAGCGGTAAGTACAAGGTAGCTTAGATAAGACATGTAACAAAACCCTACAGCCCACCTAACTCGGCTTATTTCCATTTCCCTATGATAAGGACTCCATGGTAACAACAAAGGGTCAGGGTTGAAGAACTGTACACATCCACTTAACAAGTGGGCTATGGATGATACATTTTTTTCAACTACACAGCCTGGCAAATAGCAGGCATTCAATATTTATTGAGGGAATGAATGTCTTATAATCTGATTACAGGAGCATTGTCGGCCAAAAGCACTTTTGATTTGAATATGTATCGTTATTCCCTGGAGGATTAGCCAAGCAACCAAATGAAGCTGGGAATAATGAAACGAAACTAAAAGTAATTTATCACTAAAAAGTAAGAATAGCCACAGTTGACAACCAGAACAAATTCAAGACAAGATAGCATATCTTCTTAAAACTGGAACTTCCAACTCCATGGATGGGAGCCTACTGGCACAGTAGGACTTCGTAACTTGGCACTAAAGGAATAATTCATAAAATACAGAGTTCTAGTATTAATTTTAGTTCATTGAGCCTAGCCGGTATGGCTCAGTGGTTGAGTCCACTTATGAACCAGGAGGTCACAGTTCCAATTCTAGTCAGAGCCCAAGCCCAATCCCCAGCAGGCTCAATCCCCAGTAGGGGGCATGCAGGAGGCAGCCAATCAATGATTCTCTCTCATTACTGATGTTTCTATCTGTTTCTCCCTCTCCCTTCCTCTCTGAAATCAATAAAAAAATATTTTTAAAAATGTTTAATTCATGGATAAAACCCAAATATTAATAACTCTTTTCTCATTTAGCAGGTTATTAGTAAAGAGCCCTTCCTTTACATAAAAGTGGGAGTCTAAGGGACTAGATAGTCCTAAGAGGGCAGGAAAACTTGCATTTGGGGGATCTTGTAGCCCTTCGGAGGCAGGAGACTCCCCACGAACCACTCTGGAGACTAAGCATCGCTGTAACCTGGGGCAATGGTGCAGAACTCCCCAGAACCTGACCTCAACTCTGTCTTCTGAGACACAATCAAATCAATAGGCAAAGGATGAGAGATCAGAGCCATAGTGTCACCTTCAAGGATGAGATGAATGGGCGCCTCCCTGGTTTCTAAGATTTGATCACTACCTCGCTGAATAGGGGGTTAGTTACCAGAGCAGATACTACACTGCTCATCTAGGCAGAGCGTTAAGCTAAACATCCACATTGAATTCTGTGACCCCCAATTTAACAAACTTCAACTTACAGTTTTATTGTTACTATAAATTTAATGATTTCAGAAAGGAAGGATGAGGGAGAGAGAAATAGAAACATTAATGAGAGAATCATTGATCGGCTGCCTCCTGCACACACAACCAGGGCATGTGCCCCGACAGGAAACTGATCCGTGACTTCCTGGTTCATAGGCCGATGTTCAACCACTGAGCGGCACTGGCCAGGCTTCAGCTTTATTTTTAAAATAACGAGCAACATGCCGAGACCGGTTTGGCTCAGTGGATAGAGCGTTGGTCTGTGGACTGAAAGGTCCTGGGTTCAATTCTGGTCAAGGGCATGTACCTTGGTTGCGGTGATTCTCTCTCATCAATGTTTCTGACTCTCTATCCTTCTCTCTTCCTCTCTGTGAAAAATCAATAAAATATATATTTTTTTTAAAAGAAAAAAATGTTTAAATAAATAAATAAAAATAAAATAACGAGCAACAGACAACAAATACCTTCAACCACAGCAATGACTTCCCACCTGATCATATAATCTCCATATTTCATGTTAAAATGTCCCCATGAAAATACCCTGTTTTACCAGGGGACAGCTTGTTTACAATATCAGGATCAGCTTTCTGAGCTACGTAAGCATGACAGACTATTCATCATTAAGCTGCAGCTCAGGTGTCAGCATAATTTAGTAATTTATACGTGTGTGTGTGTGTGTGTGTGTGTGTGTGTGTGCGCGTGTGTTTCCCCCACTAAACTGCTACCCGGGAGGGCATGGTCGGTAACTGACTTCGCTCTGTGCTTCTGGGAATGTATCAGATCACCCCCCAGAGTGGAAATGGGTACATCATGCTATGGTCACCTGCCGACGATGGTCACTTACTCTTACTTGTCACTGCTCTGCCTATAAGCTGCTTGTGTATCTGCCTAATGAGAACTGAGAGATCAAATCAGCAACCATGAAGAACCCACTCACATGAGTTACAGTTCTTAAAGGTAATTAGGTGGCTCCTGGTTTCTGCACCAGCTACTTCAGGAGTTTGGTTGGGGAGAGTCGAATTCTTTGGGATCAGTGACCTCTATGGAGAGTGGTCTGGGAAGTCAGGGGACTTGCTTCCCAGCTACAGCCCTCTAACTCTCCCCTTTCTATTGTTAAAAGTATTACATATGCTTTATCTTTTAAAAAAATATATATAGCCAGTATGGCTCAATGGATAGAGTGTCAGTCTGCGGACTGAAGGGTCCCAGGTTCGATTCCGATCAAGGGCATGTACCTTGGTTGCGGGCACATCCCCGGTGGGGGGTGTGCAGGAGGCAGCTGGTCGATGTTTCTCTCATCGATGTTTCTGCCTCTCTAACCCTCTCCCTTCATCTTTGTAAAAAATCAATAAAATAGATTTTAAAAATAAATAAATAAATAAATAAATAAATAAATAAATAAATTTTTAATTTATTTTAGAAAGGAAGGGAGAGGTAGAGAGGTATAGAAACATCAATGATGAAAGGAGATAATGGATTGGCAGCTTCCTGCACGCCCCCTATTGGGGATCAAGTCCACAACCCAGGCATGTGCCCTCACCAGGAATCAGACCATAACCTCCTGGTTTATAGGTCGATGCTCATCCACTGAGCCATGCTGGCTGAGTGACAGCCCTCTATCTTAATAAGCTCCTCTTCAAACAACCACAACACAGCACAGATGGCACATGAGATCAGACGTATGTGCACCGCTAATTCTGTAACCGGCAATAATTACTGCATTGGCCGTTGTGAAAACAGGTTGAGGATCTCTAATGCCTCGTTCTTAGGTTCTGACCTGCAAAACCCCGGCTCCTCCCGTGAGGCGGAGGTGGCATTGAGCCCATGGCTCGCGGATAAAATGGAACAGGATAGAGAGGCGGCATCATGGGAGTCACAAAAGTTGGTGACGGAAGCAGAGCGGAAGGCGGTGGGTAGTTCATGTTGACGCCTTCAAGGATGCTCTGTCTCATCTTCTCCACTTTGCTTGCCAGCTCAGCCTTCAAATGGGGAACAGAATAAGAATTAGCAGCTGCCATTCTTTGAACTTCTCTGTTTCGAATACGGTATTTATTGGGTGCTCTAGCTACAGTCTCATAAGTCTATTCCCATCAAGGGGATCAAGGCCTGGAGTAAAATGGCCAAGGCGACACACTCAGAAAAGCCCCAGTTCTCACAGGACACCGCACTGCCATCGTACCAGTTCTGGTTGAGGACATGTGAGGCACATTGATTAGGTCAAGAAAGACAAATACAATAATAAGTATTCAATGATGGTCCATTGCAGGGCAAGCGGGAGGTAACAGAATTAGGTAAGAGAGAGAACCAAACCCTGACATATACAACACAAAGCCTTTCACCCTTCTCCTCCATCCCCAGGATCAAAGACCATGACCTGTCGAGGGGAAGTCCCTGCCTCTAGCTCAGAACCTGACGTACTGGCTCTGAAAAGGGCCCCGTGATAAGTATTTGAGGCTCTGAGGGCCATATGGTCTGTTACAAACATCCACCTCCACCATAAATGAATGAACATGGATGTGCTCCGATAAAACCATGAAAATAAAAACTCCAATTTTGGAATTTGGGGTACTTTGCTGACCTCTCTCTAGTCCTTGAGCTCAAGGCCCTTCCACCCCCTTAATGGATAAAGGAGCAATTAAGGGTCCCTTTCCCTGCCTCTCCTCACCTTTCCCAAAATTTCATTGTAAAAAAACCCCTCTTCTTCTACTCGGTTGCTTCATTACCCTCTTCTATTTCTAAACATAGTTCCTTTACAAAAATATTACCACTTGTAAAAGTGACTTCATTTTTGTAAATAGTAAGGAAGATGACATTCTAAGAATTACAGGAAGGACACAGTATATTTGAAGATTCCATGGGGAATAATACTCAGGATAAGAAAAGTAATATGAAAGCGTGAAGTTCATAAGAAAAAAGCTTTCCGCCGCAGCCGGTTTGGCTCAGTGGATAGAGTGTCGGCCTGCGGACTGAAAGGTCCCAGGTTCGATTCCAGTCAGGGGCGCATACCTTGGTTGCGGGCACATCCCCAGTGGGGGTGTGCAGGAGGCAGCTGATCGATGTTTCTCTCTCATTGATGTTTCTAACTCTCTATCCCTCTCTCTTCCTCTCTGTAAAAAAATCAATAAAATATTTTTTTTTTAAAAGAAAGAAAAAAGCTTTCCAGCATATGATTCCGTAACATGCACGTCGGACTCAGGGCCTTTGGGACTAACACTGACAAAGTTAGGTCAAGGTCAGACACATTCTGCCACTTCTGCTGCCTCCCTCCCGGGTCTCTGTGCTGCTCCCGCCCCGCCCATTCATCCCTCAGCAGACCAGCACCGGTTCAGAGCAGCCGCCCCTGCGTCGGTACCTGGCCGTCACAGAGCTCCACAAGGGACACTCGGTCTCGGCCCGCTTTGATGAGCTTGCTCTGGAACAGCTTGCCGTCAAAGTAAATCCAGGGGCAGCAGTGCTCCCAGGGGACGGGCTGGCCACAGGCGTCATTAGCAAACAGAGCTGTGTCCACCCCGCTCATGAACAGGGCAGCAAGCTGGATCCCGCGGGCGTCCAGTTTCTCAATCTGAAAGCACCACAAAGGAAAACGCATTAGGAAGTCATGCTATTGGCTATATTGAATCTTCTTCCTGTTATACTGATTGTTCCCGTTACATCTGAACATGTGATCTTTCAATACAGACATCAGGCTGCACAGGCAGCCTCTATCCACATCTTTCCCTGAGACAGTTTGAAAGGCACTCACCACCACCACCACCACCACCACCACAAAAAGACATCAGCTTTGAAACTTTAAAAAGAACCAACTTGATATACCATGTTCTTCTGCTTGTCAAATTAGAAAACATTTTTAAAAAACTAAAGACCAAAATATGTCAGTGCAATATGTCAATTATATCTCAACTAGACGCCCAGTGCGTGAAATTTGTGCACAAAGTGTGTGTGTGTGTGTGTGTGTCCCTCAGCCCAGCCTGCAACCTCTCCAATCTGGGACCCCTTGAGGGCAGTCGAACATCCCTCTCACAATCCAGGACTGCTGGCTCCCAACCACTTGCCTGCCTGCCTGCCTGATTGCCCCCTAACTGCTTCTGCCTGCCAGCCTGATCACCTCTAATCACTCCCCTGCCAGCCTGATCAATGCCTAACTGCTCCTCTGCCAGCCCAATTGCTCCTAACTGTCCTTCCTTGCTGGCCTGGTCACCCCTAACTGCCCTTCCCTGCTGGACTGGTTACCCCTAACTGCCCTCCCCTGCTGGCCATCTTGTGTCCACATGGGGGCAGCCATCTTTGACCACATGGGGGCGGCCATCTTGTGTGTTGGAGTGATGGTCAATTTGCATATTACGTACTCTTTTATTAGATAGGATGAAACTTAAAATAAAAGGATGAAAGGCAGATGCTTATTCAGAGACAAAAAGGGAACACCAGCATCAGTCTGCTGATAAGCATGTAGTGAAATAAATGGGCATGCTCATAAAGAACTGATAAGGAAGGGATATGACAATTAAGCAATATGTATAAAAAACTTTGAAAATCTTCACATTTTTTGATTCAGAAATTCTACTTTTATGAATCTATTCTAAGGAAGTAAGGAAGTGAATAAAGCACTGTGCATAAAAATGTTAATTGTAATATTACATATAATAGGGAAAAACTGGAAACCAAACAGAAAACACTATAATAATTAAATGATACATCTATATAAAATATTATTTATTAAAATTTTTGAGACATAAAACATATGCTATATTAAGTAAATATATATATGCATATATACCTTTTTTTTACATAAACAGATCTCCACTATGTAAAAAAATGCATGACAAAAGACTGAAAGACATGGATCAGTGGTTAGAGTGTGGGCCCATGCACCAAAGGGTAGTGGGTTCGATTCCTGGTCAAGGGCATGTAGCTCAGTTGTAGGTTTGATCCCCGACTTCAGTCAGGACATATGTAGGAGGCAACCAATTCTTGTGTCTCTCTCACATTAATGTCTCTCTTTCTCTATCTCTTCCTCTCTCTCTCTCCCTCTCTCTCTCTCTCCCTCCTTCCTTTCCTTCTACTCTCTCTAAAAAAGCAATGGGAAAAATATATCATCAGGTGAGGATTAACAACAACAAAACACACACACTGCAAGAAAATACCAACATTTTCAGTGGTTACCTCAAGTTGGTGTGCTAGATGGCTTGAAAAGGAAAAGGGGACATACTTGACTGTCCCTCCTAGGTGTGGTCTGGAGTCGGTGACTGCTACAGGACCAAGCAGTATTACATTTGTAATAATAGGGAACCATGCACTGTTTGTCTTAGTGTTTCATCTTTCCCTTAGTTGACCTCACATTAAGATTTTGTAAGTCTTGTTGGACTTGATCTTCTTCAAGTTTATCCTGGGTCCTCAAAAGTCCATGGCTACTGGAAGTCGGGAGGGGGTGTCCTGCATTAATAGCTAACATTTAGTGAGCACTCAAGGCAGTGTTCTAAGTGTTTTGCATCTATCCTTTTTTTAAAATATATTTTTATTGATTTCAGAGAGGAAGGGAGAGGGAGAGAGAGATAGAAACATCAATGACGAGAGAGAATCATTGACCTGCTGCCTCTTGCACGCCCCCTACTGGGGATCCAGTCCGCAAGCCAAGTCATGTGCCCTTGGCCAGAATTGAACCTGGGATCCCTCAGTCCATAGGCTTATGCTCTACCCACTGAGCAAAATCAGGTAGGGCATGTATCTATTCTTTTATTTAATATCCTCAACCCTAAAAGAAAGGAAACTAAAGCCAGAGAGGTTAAGTAACCTGCCCAAGGTCACACAGCTAAGAAGCCAGGCTTCGGAGCCTGGCCTCTAGCCTACCTTCATTACAGGGTGGATTTATTTTCTTATGCTTTTCTAGACTTCTAACACCCAATAAGTATTCTTAAAAAGGAGGGTGTCCATCAGTGGGTGAATGGATAAAGAAGATGTGGTAGGTACACAATGGAATATTCAGCCTCAAGAAAGAAGGAAATTCTGCCATTTGCGACAGCATGGAGGGACCTTGAGGGTATTATGCTATAGGAAATAAGTCAGACAGAGGAAGACAAATACTACATGATCTCATTTATATGTGGAATCTAAAACAAACAAAAACCCAACGAAAGTCATAGAAAAAAAGATCAGGTTTGATATTATCAGAGGTGGGAGTGGATAAAAGTGTCAAAGGCAAAAGCTTCCAGTTGTAAGGTAAATAATAGTAGGCATGTAATGTACAGCAGGATGATAGCTAACACTGCTGTATGACGTATAGGAAAGTTAGGAGAGTCAATCTTAACGGTTTTCACCGTAAGGAAAAAATTGCAGAGGTGGACAAAAGTAGGTTTGCGCTTATGAGTACGTGCAACACAGTTTATTCTTATGTTATTCTTTTCCAAATGAAGAACTATACTTTTGCCCTGTATATATAGTATCTGTATGAGATGACAGATGTTAGCTGAACTTATTGTGGTAATCATCCCATGATGTATCGATATATACCATTTGTGCTGTATCACCTAAACTTATATAGTGCTATGTATCAATTACATCTCAATAAAACTAAAATAAAAGGATGGAAGGTAGATATTTATTCAGAGACAAAAAGGAGACACCAGGATCAGTCTCTGAAGTGTATCTTAAAGAGTCAGAAACTTTATCATGGTCTATGGGCCACAACTTATTAGTCTTGTATAATTTCCATCTTTTCTGTCCATCCTCACCCATCAGTATGGAGTGTACCTCTTTTATTTAAAAAAATATAATTTTTATTAATTTCAGAGAGGGAGAAAGAGACAGAAACATCAGTGATGAGAGAGAATCATTGATGGGCTGCCTCCTGCACACCTCACACAGGGCATGGAGCCCACAACCCGGGCATGTGCCCTGACCGGGAATTGAACCATGGCCTCCTGGTTCATAGGTCAGTGTTCAACCACCGACCACGCTGGCTGTGCTACAGGCACCTCTTGATTTGATTACTAGACATATTTGGCTACTGTAAATAAAACATCTACCTATAGAATTTACTCTTCTCCCCAGCTCCAGAAAAAAAAGAAAAAGAAAATTTAAACGAGAATAGATGAAATCACCTTGAGTTCTTGAAGTTGATCTGGCTCATAAAGCTGGGAAGATACAGCTTGGGCAAGGAAGGTGTCCAGCTCATGGCGATGCAGGACTCGACCGCCGGGCCACTGAACCATGTACCTAGAAAATAAAAGCATCACTGTTAAGCCATAAAAGCTCATTTAAGCGAAGATACTGATCATGGGCCAGATCCTAGGCTCGGTTTTGGTGATTCTAATGAAATAAAGTAAAATAGCCGAAGCCGGTTTGGCTCAGTGGTAGAGCGTCGGTCTGCGGACTGAAAGGTCCCAGGTTCGGTTCCGGTCAGGGGCATGTACGTTGGTTGCGGGCACATCCCCGGTAGGGGGTATGCAAGAGGCAGCTGGTTGGTGTCTCTCTCTCATCGACGTTTCTAGCCCTCTATCTCTCTCCCTTCCTCTCTGTAAAAAAATCAATAAAAATATATTTAAAAAAAAAGAAATAAAGTAAAATATAGGACAGTGTGTTAAGTACCAAGATGGAAGAATCCACAGGGAGCTATAAGAGCACAGAAGAGGGAAATGGCTTGAGGAATACTTATTTTTATTTTTAAAATCCCTTTCTTGTCTCAGGATCAGTTAAATTCCTGCTTGATTTTTATTCTTTTTATCTTTTATTAAAAACATTTATCTCATAGGTTGATGTTCAACAACTGAGCCACACCAGCTGGTCCATTTTATCTTTTGAAAAGCATAGGAATTGGGAGCTGGAGAGAATTGGGTTCAAACTCTTTCACTACCCCTTACTAGCTACGCAACCTTTGAACCTTTATTTCCTCATCTATAAACAGAGAAAAATAATACTTACTTTTAGTGCTATTATGAGGATTTAGTGGTATCACAAACAAAAGGCTGACTTAGCATATTGCCAGGTACATATATGTAACATTATAAAACCTGTTCTTGATTTTCCAAACATTGAATACCTCCTCGTGCTTTAACAAGGAGCTTATACAGGGTACTGATTTATGCAGGTCAGTTTCCCCTGCGATAAATGACTCCAGATGATGCCTCCTCTTTTTCGGTTCTTACGTCTTTAGTCACCTCTGTTACGATTGGCTACCTCTGATTTGTTGTACCCTGGGTAATCAGATGACCAAATTGTCAGAAATGTGTCTAAATTAAGAATAAATAGGTTGAGCAGGAGGCTAAGGTTCTCTTCAGCAGAAACAAACAGAAACGATTAGACTATTAGAACACAGGCTAAGTGATAGTTCATAGTTGTTCACCAACAATTTTTACTCATTTTCATGTTCCTGGATGTGCTTAAAAAAAAAAAAAAAAACACAACCAGAAAACTGCCCAGCCAGTGTGGCTCCGTGATTGAGCACTGACCTATGAACCAGGAGGTCACAATTCGATTCCTGGTATGGGCACATGCCTGGATTGCAGGCTTGATCCCCAGTAGGGGATGTGCAGGGGGCAGCCCATCAATGATTCTCTCTCTTCACTGATACTTCTCTCTCTCTCTCCTTGTCCCTTCATCTCTCTGAAAGAAATAAAAATATATTACAAAAAAGGGAGGGGGGGCATTCTACTTTATTTACTTACTTATTTATTTATTTATTTATTTATTTTAATATATTTTATTGATTTTTTACAGAGAGCTAGAAACGTCGATGAGAGAGAAACATCGACCAGCTGCCTCTTGCACACCCCCTACCGGGGATGTGCCCGCAACCAACGTACATGCCCTTGACCGGAATCGAACCTGGGACCTTTCAGTCCACAGACCGACGCTCTACCACTGAGCCAAACCGGTTTCGGTGGGGGGCATTCTACTTTAAAAACAAAACCCAGATAATCAAATAAATGGGAAAATGAACTACTACTTATACTTTTAAGAGAAAATATAAACAACACATGTAATTCCAGAGTTGATATGAGACAATACAGGGCTGTAGCCCAGGAATATATTAGAAAGTAGGAGGTAAATCTTATCTATTATTCTTTGTTTTAAATATATAATTTTTCTTAATTTCAGAGAGAAAGGGAGAGGAAGAGAAAGACACATCAACGATGAAAGAGAATCAGTTATTGGCTGCCTCCTATAAACCTCACACTACGGATTTAGCCTGCAACCCAGGCATGTGCCCTGACCTGGAATTGAACCTTGACCTCCTGGTTCATAGGCTGACACTCAACCACTGAGCCATGCCGGCAGGGCCTAATTATTATTCTTAATGGAAAGACTTCTTTTTCCTTTTTAAAAATATATTTTTATTGATTTCAGAGAGGAAGGGAGAGGGGAAAGATACAGAAACATCAATGATGAGAAAGAATCATTGACCGGCTGTCTCCTGCATGCCTCCCATTGGGGATCAAGCCTGCAATTCAGTGCCCTTGATCAGAACTGAACCTGGGACCCTTCAGTCCACAGGTGAACACTCTATCCACTGAGCCAAACCAGCCAGGGCAATGGAAAGACTTCTTAAGTCACCAATCTTAATCTCAAGGTAGTTAGAGAATAAATATGTATTTTTTTTTTAAATATATTTTATTGATTTTTTACAGAGAGGAAGGGAGAGAGATAGAGAGCCAGAAACGTCAATGAGAGAGAAACATCGACCAGCTGCCTCCTGCACACCCCCCAACGGGGATGTGCCTGCAACCAATGTACATGTCCCTGACTGGAATCGAACCCGGGACCCTTCAGTCCACAGACCAACGCTCCACCACTGAGCCAAACCAGCTTTGGCGAGAATAAATATGTATTAAGATTAAGTCTCTCATGCTATAGGGCCCCCTGCATGTACTATCTAAATCCTCAAACAGCTCTGCAGAGAATTATTAGAACCATTTATAATGAGGTAATGGATGATTTTATTTTTTAAATATTTTAAAAATTGATTTGAGAGAGAAAAAGGGAGAGGGAAAGGGAAAGAGAGAGAGAGATTGGCTGCCTCCTGTATGCCCCTAATGCGGATCAAGCCCATAACCTGGGCATGGGCCCTGACAGGGAATCAAGCTATGAGCTCCTGGTTCATGAGTTGATGCTCAACCACTGAGCCATACCAGCTGGGCAGAAATGGGTGATTTTAGTAGGTTAAGGTGACTTATCTAAGCTGCAAAGTACCAGAGCCAGAATTCAAACTGAGGTTGCGGGCACATCCCCAGTAGGGGGTGTGCAGGAGGCAGCTGGTCGATGTTTCTCTCTCATCGATGTTTCTAGCTCTCTATCCCTCTCCATTCCTCTCTGTAAAAAAATCAATAAAGTTTTTTTTTTTTTTAAAGAGAGGTCATGAAGCTCAATGGTTGAGCAAGGAACTACGAACTAGGACGTCAGTTCCTGGTCAGTACACATGTGCGGGTTGAAGGCTCAATCCCCAGTAAGCGGCATGCAGGAGGCAGCTGATCGATGATCCTATCAACGTTGATGTTTCTATCTCTCTCCCTTCCTCTCTAAAATCAGTAAGAATATATTTTTAAAAAGATAGGTGAGCTGAAACCGGTTTGGCTCAGTGGTAGAGCGTTGGTCTGCGGACTGAAAGGTCCCAAGTTCGATTCCGGTCAAGGGCATGTATCGGGCCTAGTAATAATTAATGTCGTTTTTAAACATTCGTTTAAAATCTTGCTTGGCGTTGACTTGTATTGACATAACCTTCAAACACGTGGTATCTACAGAACGTGTGAAGTGCAATTAACAAGTTTTGCTTGAAAAAGTTTGTGTTTGGTTTGGTTTTTGTTGCAAAACTAGGGCTAAGAAGATGGCGGATGAAGAGCATATTCGGCACTGCATGCTTTACGAGTTCCAATTAGGAAGAAAAGCAAGTGAGGCTGCAAAAAACATCTGTAGTGCTCTTGGTCAAGATGCAGTTAGCGCCAGAAAATGCCAGCGTTGGTTTGAGAAATTTCGCGAGGGAAATTTTTCGTTACATTGGTTGCGGGCACATCCCCAGTTGGGGGTGTGCAGGAGGCAGCTGGTTGATGTTTCTCTCTTATCGACGTTTCTAGTTCTCTATCTCTCTCCTTTCCTCTCTGTAAAAAATCAATAAAATATATTTTAAAAAAATAAATTAAAAAAAGATAGGTGATGCGTGGATTGTGATGACAGAGATCATAAGCCAAGGAGACGATCAAAGCAATCAATTTCAGTGTTTCTGAAGTCTAAGCTAAATATAAAACAAAAACCTCCCCACCCCAAACACACATAAACACACCTGATTAAAGGAAATATCCAAAAAGCAAGAGAGAAATGAGCTGGCTGCCTCCCTGTGCCACGGCTTACCGGAGCACACAGCACATGAGCAGCAGGTGGGTGGGCACGTTGGCTGGATTGAGCATGCTAGGGGTATCTGACTTCATGCAGGCCAGGAAGGCCCTCATCCTTCTGTTCTTGTCCTCAACGGCTTTGCCCAGCCAGAGCCTCTTGAGGTTTGGGCAGGTCCATTCCCGAAATGTCAGTGCAGACACCAGTTCGGGGGTTTGAGGTGACTTCCCTTTGTAGGCAGACCACTCCTTAAGGATCACTGCAGGAACTGGAAAACAGAAATTGAGGAAAACCAGGATGTAGAGAATTTCCGAGTATTTCTGCAGCTGGCCACAATGGACAAGATCGATCACATCTCAACACCTTTTTTACTTTTGTTGCTATAATATTTATTGGTAGCAGTAGAAGGCACTTACTATATGCTTGATATGTATTAAGTACTTTGCATATAAAAGTAAATCTCATTTACTCTTCAGAAAAATTCTGAGAGAGATTATGCCTACATTATTACAAAATGTAGGGCTCATTTTGCAGATGGAGAAATCAAGGCTTGCCTGGCCAGTGTGGTTCAGTGGTTGTTAACCTAGGAACCAGGTCACAGTTTGACTCCCAGTCAGGGCACATGCCTGGGTTTTGGGCTCAATCCCCAGTATGGGGCATGCAGGAGGCAGCCAATCGATGTTTATCTCTCATCATTGATGTTTCTATCTCTCTATTCCTTTCCTTTCTCCTCTGAAAACAAAACACACACACACACACACACACACACACACACACACACTTCAATGGCTCCAATTATCTATAGCAGTGATCGGCAAACTCATTAGTCAACAGAGTGGCAAACCACAGCTCGAGAGCCACAGTTTGCCGACCACTAATCTGTAGGATCAAGTTCCAAAGCAAAAACCTCACTGAAGAGGAGAGATTGTGTCTGATACATCTCTGCATTCCCAAGGCCCAGCATGGTTTATATAATAGTCGCTCTGAAGGCTTAATGGTTAAACAATTGGGGCTTAGCCCTACCCGATTTGGCTCAGTAAATAGAGGGATGGTCTGCAAACTGAAGGGTCCCAGGTTCGATTCTAGTCAAGGGCACATGTTCGGGTTGCAAGCTTGATCCCCAATAGGGAGCCAATCAATGATTCTCTCTTACCATTGATGTTTATATCTCTCTCTCCCCCTCTGCCTTCCTCTCTAAAATCAATAAAAATATAATTAAAAAAAAAGAATTGGAGCATAAGTTAATGAATTCCCCATACCAATGAGTATCCTGGTGAATTATACATTTTCTTAAAAAATCTTCCATAGCCGAGACCGGTTTGGCTCAATGGATAGAGCGTCGGCTTGGGGACTGAAGGGTCCCGGGTTCGATTCCAGTCAAGGGCATGTACCTTGGTTGCGGGCATATCCCCAGGAGGGGGTGTGCAAGAGGCAGCTGATCGATGACTATCTCTCATCAATGTTTCTAGCTCTCTATCTCTCTCCCTTCTTCTCTGTACAGAATCAATAAAATAAAAAATAAAAAAATGTTCCATAGCCAAAAGTATGTGTTTGCAGATACATTTTTGCTCTGCGTCTGTCAAAGCCAGAACTGCGCTTACGTTCCACAGGCAGCCGACGCCGTATGGCCAGGCGCTCCAGTTTCCGCTGTGTCTCCGCCAGGCTGAAAAGCACCCCGTATACATATTGACGAGCTGACCGGAACAGAAGAGCAGCTGGCGGCAGCTCCATGTTACACTCATCCTCAATGCATACAGGGATCTTGATCTCACCCTAATAAGAATATAAGCCAGAGAGAAGGAGGAAATTAGTTACCTCAAGGTTTGGGATTGAGCCGAGAAGAACCAGTAAGGAGCTGTATGTAGCCTGGCCACTACATTTTCCACTTGTACTTAAGATAGTTTCAGATTAAAAAGAAGCCATAGCCCAGCTGATGTGGCTCAGTGGTTGAGTGTTGACCTATGAACCCGGAGATCAAGGTTCAATTTCCAAGGTTCATATGCCTGGATTGCAGGTTCCATCCCCCGTGTAGGCACGCAGGAGGCAGCCTATCAATAATTCTCTCATCATTGATGTCTCTCTCTCTTCCTCTCCCTTGCTCTCCGAAATAAAAAGATTTAAAAAAATTTTTTTAAAAGAACGCAAGATGGTTCTTAAAAAAATAATAAAAGCTGAAACCAGTTTGGCTCGGTGGATAGAGCATCGGTCTGCAGACTGAAGGGTCTCACGTTCGATTCCGGTCAAGGGCATGTACATTGGTTTCGGGCACATCCCCGGTGGGGGGTATGCAGGAAGTGGCTGGTCGATGTTTTTCTCTCATGATGTTTCTAGCTCTCTGTCCCTCTCCCTTCCTCTCTGTAAAAAAAATCAATAAAAAAGAAAAATAAATAAAAATAAAAAATAAGGCCGAAACCGGTTTGGCTCAATGGATAGAGCGTCGGCTTGGGGACTGAAGGACCCGGGTTCGATTCCGGTCAAGGGCATGTACCTTGGTTGCGGGCATATCCCCAGTAGGGGGTGTGCAAGAGGCAGCTGGTCGATGACTCTCTCTCATCGATGTTTCTAACTCTCTATCTCTCTCCCTTCCTCTCTGTACAAAATCAATAAAATATCTTTAAAAAAAATAAATAAATAAAAATAAAAATAAAAAATAAATAGCCGAGACCGGTTTGGCTCAGTGGATAGAGCGTCGGCTTGGGGACTTAAGGGACCCGGGTTCGATTCTGGTCAAGGGCATGTACCTTGGTTGCAGGCACATCCCCAGTAGGGGGTGTGCAAGAGGCAGCTGATCAATGACTCTCTCTCATCGATGTTTCTAGCTCTCTATCTCCTCCCTTCCTCTCTGTACAAAATCAATAAAATATATTTAAAAAAATAAATAAATAAATAAATAAATAAAAATAAAAAATAAATAAAATTTATGTTTAAAAAATAAAATAAAAAGCAGCAATAAGTCCAGCTGGCCACAGCCAGCTTCAAAGCTATGCTCTGTTTTTAAAGTCTTTGCTATAACTGACTAGCCAACTAAATGGGAAAAGTCCATCTTAGACCTTTTGCTGGGGGTGGATTTGGATGGTAAGATGTTCTCCTGGAACAGCTCTGCGGAAGTAGAGAAAGGCAAAACACAAGGGCATAAAGCCTCTTCTTCTAGAGTCCTCCCCTAGACCAGAATCTGCCAAGTTTCTTCTTGGAAATCTCACCATTACACTTCTTGGGCCTCACTTACTGCACAGTCCCATCTCCTCTGGTCTCACCTCACCTAAGCCCCATAATACAATGAGAAGCCCCAGCACACTCGGTCTCCTTTTATCTCCCTTCAGATACCATCAATCAGCATTTTCTCCGGTGACCTACAGTTCTAGGAAGTGTGAAGTGCACTCTTAAGAGCAAGGAGGGGAGGAGGCACTGGGGTGCGCTCACCTTGGTGAGGACGTGGTAGATATATGGGTACATGAGACCTCTTCGGTGTCTGTGTTCGGCCACCCGCAAGACTTCTGGGGCGACTGGCGGCAACGGCGGAATGGTGATGTCCATGTGGTTCCTTGTAGACATAGAGAGCAGAGACGGGATGTGGGGCTCGCCATTTCCCAGGGCAGAATCGGAAACTCCAGCGTCAATAGGCTGCACCCACGGACCTCTACTACAACTGGGGTCCTCCCATCTGGACTGCCGATGAAATGATTCTGTGACGTGACTAAAAGATCGAGAAAGACAATGTAGAGAGAGAAAGGAAGTTGATAAGGATATTCCAACTCAAGTGTCTGCTCTGATCTCAAGGAACCTGACAAACCCTTTGGGGGTTTGGACACTGGGTTAGCAGTGGGCTGTTTCCACTCAGTGGCCATTACCACCCTCCTGGCTTCTTCCATCTGACACAAGCCAACGTGACCGGAAGCGGTGGGAACCATTCGGAATCCTTCCCACCACGTAAGAGATCACATTTAGAGTCTGCGCATGTTCTAAGAAAATAATTGCAATTGAAACCTCAGGGCAGCCCCGTTTCCCAGGGATAATCTGCTCAGAGAACCATCTAAGAACAAATGAACTAATGCAAAATGCCGATATTTTAATCATCAACATCCTGTCTGAGTCACTAGCAATATAACAGCCTACACAACTGTTTCAATACCTCCACTCTAAAAATTCTTCTCATTTTTTTTAACATTCAGTCTGCTCCCCTCACTGATTGAGAAATGGCTAGCTGCTGTGCTGCCTTTTACCTCCATGGCTTGAGTGTCTGAAAATTACCACCCGTCTAGGGTCAAAACGAGCATGAAGTGGCCAAGCAGAGAGAGAGAGAGTTTTCGTACTTTGCTTAGGAAGCAAAGAGCCACAGAGAGAAGCCAAGAGCATGCGCTTCCCCACGCCCCAGCCCAGGTTAGCAGCAAAAGAACAGAGATGCTTCGGAAGTCTGTTTCCTTGGGTGCCTATCCAGATACTTACTCAGAGCTGACTCCGTTTGGCTCATCACCAGAGGAGGAAGAGTGGGAAGAGTCTGGTCCCAGAGGAGGTGAGGCTTTGGAAGGCAGGTAATTGGGAAACTGTGATGAGTCATAAGAGATACCCCAAGTGGCAAGGGGGTTGTCCTCCAGCAGGGGATTCTCAGAAAAAGCATGGGATTCCCCCAAAGCATGGGGGGAGAAGAGAAGAGAGGAGTTGGGTCCCAATGGGAATGGTGGTGGATATTTCATTTTCTGGGGCACATGGTGAGAGAACTGAAGGATAAAACAGACAGAGAAGCTCTTTAACATTTTACCATGCTCCAAGATGGCTCCCTCAAAAGCTGTGACATAGCAGATGATGGCTGTAGCAAGGGTTATTGGGATACAAAGAACCTACTGAGAGAAACAAGAAATAATTCTAACAGTGATGTACGGATAGAATTCTCCAGAGGCAGGGCAATGAACCAAACCATGGTCTCCTAGCACGCTCTCCACCATTAGCACATCTACCTTCGCCAGGCCCTAGTGGTTACTGATTTGGATGTCTCCTTGACATGGTCTGCTGGCCTCCAGCTGAGAATGTGACATAGGTATATGCCAGTCTTAACACACTGATTACACTGAGACAACCTAACTCAGGCTGTGACACTCAGGAAGCCACCGGAGTCTAATGCTAAAGTAACGGTCTGCGGCCCCTTAAAGGATACTTACCATTGGCCTCCCAGGAGAAATACCGCTCATGTGACTTCGTGCAATGGGAGGGTTTCCCAGGCGATTGTTACGAAACCCTGAAGCCAAGAGAAAGGGCTACATTTTAGGCAATCGTCTTCATTCTACCACGTTACATTCTGCTAACCCCACATCACCTGGAAAATTATGATCCATTATAAATAAGTCACATCTTACTGAGCAGCTATTATGCACCATGCCAGGAATCTTACATAAATGATTGCATCGGATAACCACCTTAATCCGATGGGTATCGTGAGCCACCTTTCTTGCCAAGATCGCACAGCTAGTAAGCAGCAGAGGTGGGATTGGAACTCAGGTCTGACACCACGGACAGGGCTGTCTTACGTGAACTAGGCCACAATGGAAGGTAGCATCAGAAGAAGCCCAAGCTAAGAGAATGGCATAGGACGCCAACTAACGTTTTGGGCAATCGGGGCCTTGTCTCATGCCACCTCTCTTATTGCATGGAAATTCAAAGGAGAACGTCTAGCAAACAGGAATGACTTCTAGGATGCAATACAAACAAGGGATTCTCCTCTGGCCTGGGAGTTTCTGAGGGGCCACCTCAGTCTCCTCTATGGGCAGAGCAGTTCCGGGTCAGGTGGAAGCCTTACCTAGGAAGGAGGAGGAACTCACTGGCAGCGAAGAGATTTTGGTTGTGACTGAATAGTACTCAACTGCTTTCTTGAATCGCTCTATTTTATCTTCCGTCCTGGACTGGATGTCGCAACATCAGATGTTCAGAAGAAGAAACAACACAAGAGTGTCTTGTTCATGCAATTTGTCATTTGAGAGTCAAAACAGTAGCAGAAATCAAATATTTAAAGAAACCCAAGGGAGTAATTTTTCACGTTGCAGGAAAGATTAGAGAAGGAGAAAGCATTATGGAACATCAAATCTGGGAAAAGTTTTTAAATGAAGTTTAAAAATAAAAGTTGACTTAGGAAATTTTGTATTCTTCTAAAATGGTCACATGATCATTAACAAAACACATAAGGATAGCGGCAAATTACACAGTACCACCACCGAAAGGTATTTTGGGTGTGTTTTCTTTCTCCTTCTAGTCTTTTTTCAAATAAATTTTCCCCCCCGATCTTGGCTGGTAAATAATGTTGCTATGAACACAGGGTTCTTAGGAAATATTCCCAGAAGTGGGATTGCTGGGTCAAAAGGCAGCTCCATTTTTAATTTTTTGAGGAAACGCCATACTATTTTCAACAGTAGCTGCACCAGGGTTCCCTTTTCTCCACATTCTTGTCAACAGGTGTTGTTTGTGGATTTACTGAGGATAGCCATTCCGGCAAGTGTGAGGTGCTACCTCGTGGTAGTCTTAGTTCACATCTCTCTGATGCTTAGTGATGCTGAGCCTTTTTCATATATGTATTGGTCATCTGTATGTCCTCTTTGGACAAAACAGAAGCAGAGGCATGGATATATGGAACACACTGACAGACGTCAGAGAGGAGGAGAATGGGGGGGACTGGATGAAATAAGGTGAAGAGATTAGCCAGAGAACATATATGAATATCCCATGGACACAGAGAAGTGTGGTGATGGCCAGAAGGAGGGGGGTGCGGCTGGGTGGAGGTAGGTAAGGGGAGGAATGGGGCACATCTGTGATAGTGGCAACAATAAATTAAAAATAAATAAAAATTGTTACTTCAAAATAAAATTGTTGTTGATGTATATAGCTACACTATTTTATTTTATTATTTTTTAAAAATATATTTCATTGATTTTTTACAGAGAGGAAGAGAGAGGGATAGAGAGTTAGAAACATCGATGAGAAAGAATCATCCATCAGCTGCCTCTTGCACACCCCCTACTGAGGATATGCCCGCAACCAAGGTACATACCCTTGACCGGAATCGAACCCGGGACCTTCAGTCCACAAACCGACGCTCTATCCATTGAGCCAAACCGGTTTCGGCTAGCTATACTATTTTAATACCCATATTTTCTATAGTTAATACCTTACTCTATGTATAATATTATATCCTGCTTTTATTGTATTTTAAGATAATTTTGAAAGGCTGCATATTTTATCATTATAAATATATCATAAATTATGCACCTACTTCCCTAATACCTGACATTTAGGTTATTTCTCACATTTGGCTTTTATAAGTTACACAGCAGAGAACACATCATAGAAGATTTTCTGGATTTTAGATTATATACTTAGGACAATGTCCCCAAAGTGAAATTATTGGTTCAAAAGGCATGAACATTCAAACCAAAAGCAGCCCGTCCAGCGTGGCTCATGGCTGACCTATGAACCAGGAGGTCCCGATTCCATTCCTGGTCAGGGCGCATGTCCGGGGGGTTGAAAGCTTGGTCCTCAGTGTGGGATGTGCAGGAGGCAGCTGATCAAAGATTCTCTCCCATCATTGATGTTTCTCTCTCTCCCCGTCTCCCTTCCTCTCCAAAATCAATAAAAATATTTTTAAAACACACAAAAGCACTTAAAACATACATTGAGTGGCCAGATTATTATGATCTCTGAACACATAATAGTGAGTGTGTGTGTGTGTGTGTGTGTGTGTGTGTGTGTGTGTGTTTTAGAGGCCCGGTGCATGAATTCGTGCATGGGTGGGGTCTAGACAGCCTGGCCAGGGGCAGGGGACATGGGCAGTTGGCCAGCCTGCTTGCTGGTTGAGGGGACAACTTGCATATTAGCCTTTTATTATATAAGATATACACTGAGTGGCCATATTATTATGCATTCAGAGATCATAGTAATCTGGCCACTCAGTGTATATAAAACTACAATGTGACATCACTGTATATCCACAGAATGGCAAAAATTCGAGATTATAAATATCAGTAACTGGAATACCAGTAGATTGCTGGTAGGTGTATCTAGGTACAGCTTGGAAAACAGTTTGGCAGTTTCTTATGAAACTAAACATTATTTACCGAGTAGCATAGTAGTAATCCTTCTCCTAAGTAATTTACTAGGAGATTTACTAGAGGAACCCGCCTCCACTATGGGCACAGCCATCTTGTGATAGCGTGATGGCATGAGGACCACCTAAGCTTTTATTGGTATAATACTTTTACTCCTCAATTTCAGAAGGCAAGTGGAAAGTAAATTCACCCTAGGGGAAATGAGTACATTTGTCCACCAAAAAGTATGAACAAACTAACAACAGCTTTATGCATAGTAGCCCTAAACTAGAAATAACTCAAATGCATATTAACAGAAAAATGGATCAATTGTACTATATTCATATAATGGGATAGAATATAGTGAAAAGAAGAGCAATGCTATGAATAAATCTATGCTATGATACATGCAATGCTATGAATAAATCTCAAAGACATACTGAGTGAAAGACAAACACAAAAGCATACATATAAAGCTCAAAGGGAAGCAAAACGAATCTATGACAATAGGAGTAAAATGGCTCTTTCCCTCTGTGGGGTAGGGACTGATCAAGATGGGGCTTTTCCTTATCAAAATCCCCTTGAACATAATTTTATGGTCTTTATATTTCATCAAATGGAACTTAAGATATTAAAGTCATTTCTAATTTCTCATTATAAATATTGCTCTGATAAGCACATTGTTAACAAGTTTCTTGGGTTATTTCATAAGGCAAATTCTTAGAAATAGGTTTACTAGGTCAAAGGATATGGTCATGTTCATAGACTCTTGCCACATGATACTAAATCTCTTCCCAGAATAGTGTCACAAGTTATATTTTCTTTTATTTCTTTTTAAAAAAATATATATTTTATTGATTTTTTACAGAGAGGAAGGGAGAGAGATAGAGAGCTAGAAACGTCGATGAGAGAGAAACATAGACCAACTGCCTCTTGCACACCCCCCACCGGGGATGGGCCCGCAACCCAATGTACATGCCCTTGACCGGAATCGAACCCGGGACCCTTCAGTCCACAGACCGACGCTTTACCGCTGAGCCAAACCAGTTTCGGCACAAGTTATATTTTCATCATCAATACACGAGAGTGCCCAATTCGCCATGTAGCCCCAAGTATTGAATATTTTCTTAAAAAGAAAAACATCTACTAACTATAACCCATTTGTTTCTTATAGAAAAAATAAAATAATTTTTAATTTTAAAAAATAATGAAAAAGGAAAACTTAAAATATTCATAATCATATCTCTGAGTTGTAACCATTAACACCCAGGATCTAGACAGCTTTCCAGAGGTGTTTGAGTATGCACGCAAGCACACACACACAGAAATCAAGATCTGCAGGTCTGCCAGCCTCACTTGGAAACAAAATCACTCTGCTTACTAAAAAAACTGGACTTGAGAAGGCCTGTGTGGCTCAGTGGTTGACCATGAACCCATGAACCAAGAAGTTGCCAGTTCAACTCCAGGTCAGGGCACGTGCCCAGGTTGCAGCCTCGATCCCCAGTGTGGGGCATGTAGGAGGCAGCTGATTGATGTTTCTTTCTCCTTGATGTTTCTCTCTCTCTCTCATTCTCTATTTCTATCTAAAAAAAATTAAAAATTTTAAAATTGGACTCACTATAATTATTTGAAAAAAGGGTCCCATGTCTAAAGAATGTTTTCAAATTATACCGACTTACAGAATATCTATATGGTTGAATAACGTTCCTTTGAGTCAAAATTTCATTTTTAAAATATATACTATTGATTTTTTTTATAGACAGGAAGGGAGATGGATAGTTAGAAACATCGATGAGAGAGAAACATCGACCAGCTGCCTCCTACATCCCCCCACTGGGCATGTGCCTGCAACCAAGGTACATGCCCTTGACCAGAATCTAACCTGGGACCTTTCAGTCTACAGGCCGACGTTCTATCCACTGAGCCAAACCAGTTAGGGCTCAAATTTTCATTTTATGCATTATTTTATTAGTATATTCAATAATATACATAATAATTGAAAACAATCTCTTACAAGATAAAAGCTATACAGAGTCTCTCCTACTAGCTCTACCTCTGCGCTCACTCCCCACTTCCCAGGAGTGACCACTGTTAGCAGTTGGGTATATGTCTGTCATAACTTTTGCTGCATGTATACCAAGTCTTTTTTCCACATAAATGAAGCCATATCACATGTTTTTAACCTGGTTTTTGTACTTATCAATAGGTCTTATAAACTATTCATTGCCAGTGAGTATAGGTCTATGATGCAATCCCTTGAAATACAAATTATGCATACTTCCCACAATGCACCACTCTGTTCTGAGTCCTGACAAATATTTACTCTTCCTTCAAGGGGCCCGCACCAGTTGTATGAAACCTTTCCTCTCTAGGAAACTTTTATCGGGGTTTTTCTTTGTTGTGTTCATTTATTTGCTTCTGCCTCGCAGTTTAACCTCAGGTTCCATGAGGGCGAAGAGTGATTTATTCACATTTATGTCCTAGTATGTAGCATGGGACCCTGTCTATAAAGGTTTATTTAGTATCTGATGCATAATTGCATTTCATAAAGTTCTATCCTTTCCTTTTATAGATCTACAAAGGAGATATTTCTGAAAATGCTACAGCAACAATGAAAAGTAGTGAAGTCATAAAATTAAGTGAAAAAAAAGGGTTAAAATTTTTTACACAGAGATGACTACCATACCACATCAAAACACACATATGAAGGAGACAGAAAACATTGTAAGCAACTTAGGATGGAATTAGGAGCAAAGGGTCTATTTTAGTTTTTTGCTCTTGTTTTTTAAATTAAGAAGGCATAAAAGTGTGGTGACTGCTGGAAGGAG